CGGAACAATGCCCATCCGTTACCTGTAGCTCAGCTGGCTTGCATCTGTTGCATTAATTTTCCTTTTTTCCTTTAGGTTTTGCGGCACAGTAGCTGAGGTATTTCCCATCTCTAGCCAACGTGTATAATGATGATGATGATGCACACGACAAACTGAACACCTTGCGAACAGTTGTGGAAGATTTGCAAGTGAGGCACTTGGACAGCAATTAGTACCATAATGGAAAGAATGTACTCGGCTTTATTCTCTCATACATGGCGACCCAGTAAGCGCAGACAGCGGGTGTTTACAGTTGCTAATGGATGTCAGGGTTGGCATCTTCAATACTGCCACATAAAATGCCGTTGCCATCTGCGAAGCAAAGATGCTGCCGCGATAATACTCCATGGTCGTTGGAAGACTGCATTCATGCCGAATGTAGAGGTGATTCTGGGCTTCAATTACTACCGAATGGTGTGTTCACGCAACTACCACTACCTTAAAACCGGGCACCAGCCGATTGAACCAATATTAACTGGGATCTCGTAAGATCTATTACCATTGAGCAAACGGCTTCTTCACTGCGAGCAACGCATGGAGCTGTACCCGCGGTAGACCGTGTCACATCGAGGGACATCAATCGAATGAATCCGAGATTCATTACATACTTTTAATCGATTATTGGCTTATTCTCCTTATCCTGCTCACATGAATGTGGCTCGTCTAACGTTTGTTCCAAAACATTTCTAACTACTCACCCTAATGACCTTCACCCAATTCCCGTAACTCCGGTCTTCACCCGTTTTTCATCGCCTTTTATTCTTTCGCTAGATTCCTGCACTCTAAGCTGACCGTTTTCAACCTAAAGATGGCTGCGTAGAAGGCGGCACGATAGTATACTCCATTCTAACGTATTCACACTTGAAAGTCATGCCATTATCCATTGTTCCCCTAGCCAGTTCAAAGATCTTTAATTCCACCTCTCCCGATTCGTCGCTTCGGGCAGCCTCCTCTTTCGGTGTACCCACATTTCTTCTGCATTATCTAATTATACCTCCGGAGTCTCAATCAGCAACGGTCTGAGAATCCATCCAGGGCGTGGTATCCGTCAGGGAGAGCCACATTCTCCCTTGCGCTTCATCATGGCCCTTGAGGAAGCATAAAGCACACCGTCTGACACAGTGGATTTCCCAAGCAGGTCACTCGATCATATCGCTTACGCAGGTGATGTAGTATTTGCCCGTAACAGAGAATCCCTGATTGAACGCCTAGGTCGAGGTAGGAGGATATACAGCATTTTGATTGTCAATACACCCATGTTAATAGCTATCACCGTCGACAGCAAAAGAAAAATTTGCCTTCTTTGAACACTATACAGCTCCACTGACGCACCCTTCAGATCCCGTAGATCTAGCTATGCGAGGAATTCCAAGTATTTGGACTGCCATTAGATTGGAAGGGTAAATGCCGGTCGGACTCGCTAGACCAACTCAAAGCAGAGTTTTAGGAAACATCTCAATCCCTACCAGCGCATGGACATCTTGCGCATCACTCTTTTACCTCGCCATACATATGGCCTCTCATTGGCGGTGGTGCATCGACAGAGCCTCAAATCGGTGGATAGGCCGCTCCGGGTATGTATAAGAAAATTAAAACGACTCCTCAAGGATATTGGTGGCGGTTTCTTTCACGTACCAGTTAAGGATTATAGCCTAGGGGTTCCGTGCCTTTCTAGTAGGTTCCCATTACTTCGGAACGACCCGCCTGGAACTCCCTCTTTCACTCTCACACCCAAGTACCAGCTTGGAGATTCGGGAATCTTGTGCGGTTACTATAGAGCGCCACGCCACGAAACACATGATCATTGGGAATCAAGTCACCTTTGACAAAAGCAACACAGAGAAGCGTGGAACAACTCACTGATACAATCTGTGGACAACTGCTTTCTTTGGGGGTTACTAATGATGCCAGCGTCTCACAGCTGGATAAGAAAGCCCGAGAGAATTTCCCCAGTGTCTAAATCAGAGGAACCCAACTTCGGGTAGGGGCGCTGTCGACAAAATCTCGAAGCTCCAGAAGATGACAACCTCCAAACCCAACCGAGCTTCACTTCCGGGGTGCCTGTGGACACAACGAAACACTTACTCACGTCGAGCAGTTTTGTGCAGTAACCAACGATGCTCGCTGTAAGAGGCACAAAGTTATCATGAAACAACTAATCAACATTCTTTTATCGCAAAGAAGCTCAAATTATCCCGGTGCACCGCATCCTAACGGCGTGAACGTACATCAAGCCGGGTTTAATCGCCACCAAGGACTCCACCGTACATGTAATGGGTGTGGTAATATGCGGAAGGTACAGTGACCCGTACCTACCAAATAAAAATATACAAATACGATGTAGGTGCTCAGGCGGAAACCATACCTTGTTCTGTGCCCTCGAAATTTCCTACGACATTAAATAGCATGTATCACACGAGAATCGTCAACCACCGGGGTCATATATTCTCAGCATTTGTCAGGTACTGAGGCTCACAAAACCCGACATATCCGACTTGCGTGCGGCTACCAAGAGAGGATCTCTTAAAGTGTAGGACACATATATGCGGGCGCAAAGTCCCGTTGACAACGTACACTCACACATCCGCGAGTGCTTTCGATAATTTTTTTTAATATTATTATTGTGTCAATATTACGCCAAGATATTTGTCCCAGCCCAGTGAATTTACCTAATGCCCAGGCCTTGGGACATGCATGAATTTTCCCAAAAAGTTACTTTGTCCATCCCCTCCTACTTAGCCTCTCCCTTCTATCCCGATCTCATTCGTTACGCATAACTGTCTTTTTACGGCACGATAGCCGGATGTTAGCTCTCCGGAACGATGTCCATCTGTTACTGGGGTCTCACCCGGAGTTCCACTGTTGTAACTATCCTTTCTTCTTGTTTTTAGTGTTTAGTATTGCGGCAAAATAGTTTGGTGTTTTCCAACTGCAGCTAACGTGTATAATGAATGAATGAATTGCCGAAAAGATATATTCATGGACCAGGATTCCCGTTAAAGAGAACCTTGAGCAATTCGATCAGTGCGGCGGGCAACACCCAATATGGATGCGCCTCATCAGTTATAGTCCCAGTAATCGAATTCGCCAAGGTTCACCTCAATAAATAATGATGGTAAATAATGTGTCAGATGTATGTTGTAACGGCGCTTCGCTGCCGCACGATCACCACCAGTCGCGCGTGGACTGAGTGGACCGCGTGGACGCCAGCCCCTACGCGGATCGCAAGCCAGGCGTACGGACCACTCGGCAAGCGGCCGACACTGCGATTGCATTTTTGAAATCCATTCATATAATGAGTACTTCAAAATGCCCCTCTAATCATTGAGCAAAATACTTACATACAGAGAAGTTTAGATTTTTCACTAATTTGATGAAAACCACTTAAACACAAGTTTGGACATTCATTTGTGCAGCGCGACGCAAGGAGAGGGGCTATTAGCGAGAAAATGGAACAAGATATAACTGAAAATAGTAGTTTAGCCCATGCTCACCTATGCCATCCCCAGGAGAGCTATCCAGGCGTCTACCGTTTCCCACCGACGCTAATCGTATTTGAGGAAAAACTGGATAAAGGGAGATCCTATGTATTTCGTCGCTCAGTATTATCTGTCTCTTCCAGTTTACGGACAAAACACTGGCCTTGTTAGCCCTCACTTACTTGCGCTGCATTAGGTACCAGCAGTTTTCTATCATACGGTTTCAGAACAATTCCGTCAGACCATCTAATGGGAATGGTGAAACAATGCTTCGTAAATATTACAAATTCATTGCACATTGCTTCTTGATAAGCGGAATAAATGGCATTCTTCAATGTGTAAAGAACAAGAAGGTCACCAGTTCGGCTTAGAGAACGCAAAGATTCTAGTACATGGAAGTTCGTTGCAAGCTGGAGAATTCTCGGAAGAATGGTATTCTACAGCCAATGTAATCAACCGACACGTTGAGCTAGATGTTATATGTCGGCAATGCGGATGAAAGATCACCAATTTAAGCAATTAATTCCGACGGAGCAGAAAGTCGGACAAGCAAGTCGGACGATGATATCAACCGCAGAGTAGTGCGTGTTAGCGTTACGATGTACGGATGCGAAAGATCAGTTTGGATGGTCGTGTTCCCGTTAACATATTTTAGCTCAGACTCACGGCTTGTCCGCCCAGACGATAGAGCAGGCAGGCAGGCACGCGCGCACGACACACTAAGTAATGCTTCGCATCGCGCCGCTCCGTTCCGCTAGATAATAGCGCATTGATATTATAACTTTGGATGAGGATGAAACAATTACAGCAAAACTGTCGAGCCAGCAAACACTCCGACCGTCAATTGGGTATAAGCTTAAGGGGGCGTCAGAGTTAACATGAACATTTCCGTTACTCGTTGAGCAAAATAAACCAAATGGACTATGTACTATAAGCGGACGGTGTGTGACAGTCGCTGGGAGATGAGCAAATGACTGAGAAAACGCAATACTAAAAATGGCATCAGCATTACGCCTGTAGGCAGTACCTGCGCTTCGCTGCCGCGCAACCACCACCGGCCGCACATGGTCTAAGGATACCGTAAGGGTCGCGCTGCCCCTGCGCAGTCTCGAACCCGCACCGTCAGATTACAAGACAATCTTGTTGTCTTTAGGCTCGGGCAAACCAAACGCGACTCTAAAAGCTGATTCATACTTTACTGCAGTAGAACATAGCCCTTTAGACATACTTAGCAGATTTTGATGGTGATCAGATTTTGTTTTTAACTTTTGGAGGGCCATTCGACGCGGTGTTTGCAAAATGGCGCAGGTTACAAAGTTAGGATCTATTGCGAAAGGAACGTTACCAATGACAAATATATGAAGCCAATATTGTGCTGCCAAGCAAAGTTGTAGCACTCTGCCTCTGTGGTGTCGCAAGCACTAATTTGTCTGCTCAGACCCCCTTGTCATTAACCCGAACATGCTAATAACTAGTACAAAATGCCGAAAAATGTGTCTAGCTTCTGGTAATTTCTATAGTTGTTGATCAATCCTAATTGTGATCTCATATGAAAGCAGTTCTGATGAACATGATGTCAAAGGGATCGGTAATAAACACAAGTGGCCGGTACATCACTGGATAATTTAATGTTATCTCAAATGAGTCCCAAGCATCCAGAGTGCTTATAACGACTTGCTATGGGATATCGGGAGTGCAGTTAGCGTTGGTCGTCCACATAGTTGGTGAAATCATACTCGATAGTTGAATCCCAACCATTTGGCAAGGGCTCGGACTGTGGCTCATACTCCAACTGTCTGGTGACCCGATCTAGGCGGGAAAGGCGTCTTTCAGCAGCTTGTATGACCATTTCAAGACTTCTTGTGTTCAAAATCTTCAGGAGGGCAATAACTGCACTTCGAACCGTACGTTCATTCTGAAGGAAGAGTTTGAGTAAAGTGACAACATGGAGGTTAATGCACAGTCAAGGATTCCGTTTGACAAGATACCAGAGTGGATGAACTGTCAACTCAAGCGATTCGATGTGTGCGAGTGCTAACTGGATTGTACTAAGCAAATGTATAACAAGTCACGATGAATAATGTTAGCCCAAATAAGGAAGGAAATTATTCGGCATATTCCAATGAATGTTTGGGTTATATTAGTTGCAGTGAACCGAATGCTGCATGATAGCCAACGTTTGCAGTTTACTCGATGTTGCTGTTTTCTTTACATGACATACTATACCTCAGGCTGCTTCGAACATTTGTGCTCTACGTGTAGCACAAGAAATACACTGGGTATCCGATTTACGAAATTTTCAACTAAACGGCTAGGTAGGACTTGCAGAAGAAGATGCTTCAACGGCTGTTTCATGTAATTACCTGCCGAGTTATTCAACTGATTTTTCGATCTAATTCGGGAAACTCAGAAACAGAAAAAAAACAGTGACGGCACGCATTGCAACCACCGAAAAAAGGACTAAGCTGCATAAGCTGAATAATTTACTGTGTCATAATTTCAAAGGTGTACAGCTAAGATAACCCGTGTCCTCTACTGGAGGAATAATGCAAAGAAAAAATGTCATATTCGTTTAAGTTGAAATCCATGTATTTGCATGAGATGGTAGGTGGCATTCGCTTCCAGATTTGCCGATCACTGCGGCCTTCATAGGACAGCCACATGACGCCTGCGCCTACTGAGCGACCATGGGTGGCTTGTGCTGCACCACTCACAGCTCCATCCACACACCTCATATCCAGTGTGAACCCGGAGAAAGAAGACCGGGAGGCATGTGGATGGAAGCTGGCTTTCATCAACGGAGCCGGCCCACACTCCTTCACAGGTAAACACGAGCATGCTATAGTTTGGGATTAAGCGCACTGAAGGCGGTGGCTGGGCCGTAGTCCGCTCTGCAATGGACGGAACCAATGTTCGAGCCTAGCACGACCACGAGGACCACGCACCCCGTCCACTCCAGCAATGACCAACTGTCTAGAGCCGGTAATCGAGGATGAGGGTGCTAGACAGGTGGGCTCCTTGTCAACATGCGCATCAAACGCAGCCACACCGGGTACGCCAAGCAACAGCCAATCATTTAAAATGAAAATATCAAATAAAATAGATCGAAAACTGTGCGATTGTGCCTATAAATCAGCATATGAAATAAATGTTACCAACATATCCGCGATAAACTCAAGATCGCAGCATAAGGAATCAAGAAAGCCTTTACAGCAAACGAGAAAAATAAACGAACTTAATTACCTTTGGTTTGGGTGACGTGTGCAGGTTAATAGAACGTTACTCATGTAGGCATTAAAATACGGTAAGAGAATAAGCACTAAGAAAATACAGCAAACCAATCACCTGAAATAAAGCAACTCGGCATCCAAGCACGCGGTTAGTAAATCGATGGAAGCGCATGCAGCGTACTTACCAACACCGTGCCGGTTTGCTTATCTTACCAGCACGACCTGTCGTCGTTTCGATGCTGGTCCTGAGTGGCCTCGCTCGTAGCACACTAGGCCTGCCTGACTCAGACACTCGCGACCGCATGTGTTACATCATCATGTGCTCAATGTCTATGGAGCATACTCCTGCGGCGACTGTCCCTTCCGCACCTGCGGCTTCCTCTCCGCATGCACGACGGCTTTCTCTTGCACCTCGACAACTGCCTTCGTGCTCAGATAGCGCTATGCACGCCGAGCAACCGCCTCCGATTTCCAACATCTGTAGTCAACAATAGAACGTGATAGGCTCATGTCCTGGTAACAAAGCTTCGGGTTCCCCACGTGCCGCTCCTTGCACCCAGCTGACCACGTGACAGCTACTTCGGCATTCACGCCGAATCCATACGGCGCAAATGACCAAGCAACCTCAGGTGCCTTAACAAAAGTATGCAGTCCGCTGTATAAATTCAACATCAGTGCAACACCCTCATGTCTGCAAAGCTGTCTCACCAAACGAAGCATAGTATGCGTCGCAGGCACTGTTGATGAAACCACTCGAGGTATCTCACATGTCGTCGTTAGCTCGCCTACGATTCGTTGCCGTATAGAAGAACGGTCGGCACCATGAATTTGTAGACTATCAGCTTCGTGCCAATGTTAAGCTGTTGATTGTCTCATACTCGATACCCAAGCTTCCCGAATGCCGCCGCTGCCTTCGATACGCGGATACGAAGCTCACTGTATATTTGCTGGTCAGTCGAAACCACACTCCCAAGGTAACAACGTGGAGGGTGGCTTCAGATCTATCATCACCAATGCCGATTCGCGGCACCATTGCAGATTGCACTTCCGGTGAAGTCTGAAAGAGACAGACTTTTGATTGAGTTGATGGTGAGCCCCAATTTTGGCGCTGTCGAAGCATGAGCCCTAGTCATGTGCTGCAACACCGTGTGTGTGTGCAAACAACGCACAGTCATCAGCGAACAGCAGCATACGCATAGTTGTTTCACAGACTAGGGTTTTCGCACCGAAACGGCGGATGTTCAGCAATATATCATCAATATGATGCTTCACACGAACACCGTAAGCACAAGGCGCATCAAACGCACACGACACCATGGCATGAAAGTAAATATTAAACAAAACAGGAGTTAAGACACAGCCTTGCTTCACACCAGAGAAAACTGCAAAGTCGTCCGAGGTCTCGCCACTCAGCTGCTCCCACGCCTGCATACCACTGTGCAGACATTCAACCAAACTTACAAATTAACTCGGACAACCAAACTTACCCAACACCAGCCAAAATGCCGCGCGGTTCACTGTATTAAATGCCTTGGTGAAATCAACAACAAGCGAGTGAAAATGCCGGTGTCATCCACTACACTTCTGCAACTGACTAGCCGCATACATTATATCGATGGTGTTGCAACCCAAACGGAACGCACACTGCTCTTCCGCCACGTTCGATTCCACAACCTGACTGACAATGCGGTTGAGTAGGATGCGGGCAACCACCTTGCCCACACAATCCAGCAAATTGATACCATGTTAATTCGTGGCGCGTTGCTTGCTTCCTTTGCCCTTGTACAGTGATAGCACAAGGGCATCCTTCAGCACAGGAGGCACCTCCTCCTCAATCCCCACTCGCTGTACCAACTGGTGCAGCGCATTCACCAACGCGGGTCCGCCGTATTTCAATACTTCAGGCGGGATCCCGTTGGCACCGGCACACTTGCTGTTACGCAGCTGAGCAAGTGCTCGCTACGACGCATCTAGTGTTTGCGTGTCCGCCAGACTCACTTTCGCATACTATTTCAGGCCGTTCAATGTAGGCCAGTCAATCTCTGAAACGTTGTTCAGGAGTTATTCAAAGTAATTTCGCTAAATCGGCATCATGTCTGCAGTCTGTGTGCAGGTAGCGCATGAATACTATCGCGCAGCGTCCTCAGAGACCCCAACCTCTGTCCATACACCGTCTTCAAGAAGTCAAAGAATTTCTTGCATTGGTGGCGTTCGGCGTAGCATTCCATCTGCTTTGCATTTCACCTCTACTATGCGTTTTTAATGCGAGGGAGCTCTCGAGTCGGTCGCCGTATAATTCTGCGAAATTGACTTTTTCCCGTAGTCACTGGGGTTTGCCACGTTTGCAGCAAATGCTGTATTCTTCTCTGACACCGGTGCGCCAATAGTCACATTGTTCTTATCAAACCACTTGTTCCGCTTACAGTTTGCACACCCGATGGCCTCCTCGGCGTCAGCTGTCATCTGTTAGCGAATGTGGTGCCACAGGTCGACCACTATGTCTAGGCATTCCACATGACACAGGCGTGCCA